TACAGATCTCTTCTGACCTTTGCACTAAGTGCTGTAATGTGTGTTTGACTATTTGCTCATCTCCCAGAACAGCAGGCAGGGCTTGAGGACAACAAGAGACAGAGAACCAATCACCACCTGTCATAATTGCTTCCAGCTTGTTATAAATAACAAACCACAATATTAATATAATATATCTATGTTTAATTTCCAGAGTACAGAGAAAATCTGAACTGTCCTAAAAGAACTTGTGTGAGTAATCGTAGAAAAAGTAAAAAAATAAGGCCTTTAATGTTCTTGCTACCTTCCACCCTGGTAGCAATACAACTAATGGATATAAAAAAGAGGTTAAGAAGTGGAGGTAATAATTCCAAGTCTGGCTGACAGATATCTCAGAAGATTCTTGGTGTCAATGCAAAGTGCCCAAAGGACAGGTTTTTTAAAACAAAATGTCCCTTAAAAAGGCCAAGAAAGAATTCAGTCGCCTATGTTAAAAGATATGCAAAAGGTATGAAATCAAAAGGAATGAATTTTGTCTAGGTAGCACACAGAATTCAACCCCAAAAAAGCTGGAATAGTCTTAGGAAGGTCCAATTTCCAGTGCAGTAAGCAGATTTCAACTGACTTGATTGCAGTTTTGCCTTTTGCACCAGCTAAATACAGCTTCAGAAGTGCCTAAAGACTTTCAAAACATCCACTAGCACCCCAAGAAAGTGTGTTGCTTGCAATCCTGCACTGAACATGCCCTGTGCTATTCTGCTTCTATAGTCAAGTGTCTCCAGAAACAAAGCCAAATAAAGGCTTTCATGAGATCAACTGACATGCAATGAAAGCAAACATGGGATGTTTTAGCATTTTGTCTCTGAAAGTGTAGGAAAGGTGCTGGTGTGCCCAGAAGCCTCTCTGTTTATTTTTGTGCTTAGCTATATCAGTCGGAGATTGTGCCATTAAAGACAGTATTGACACACCAGGACACGCAAATGGCTGCATGACCTCTTTGCTGTTGGCTTGATTTTGTAACCTTTATGTTCCCTAATGCTGCTCTCTGCATGGGTGACGCACACTAAGCAGCCTCCTGCAAGGTCTTCTTGTACTTTACCATTATTGAATGTACCCTGCCATTCAAAGGTTCTCCTTACAGTTCATGCAGGGACAGCTCAAAGGATCCTTGTCCACTGCAGTGAAGTGTGGGACTGGACACATCCATCACACATCTGATAGAAAGTGACTTCTGCCCAGCTATGGAGAAGGCAGAAGGGTCAAACGTTTAGGCTGTTCTTCAGTTGCTGGAGAAAAGCTTAAGTTGTGCACAAGAAATCAAGAAAATTATTTCACATCAAAAGGGTCAGAAATGTTGCAATGGCTATAGAGGTTTGGTTCAGGGTTCAAGGCATGAACACCTACAAAACATTTTCCACCTCTAGCTCTCTAAGTGCCTCAGTGAAACAGCTCTCCCACTTTTCTCATTTTACAGCATGTAAAACTGAGGCTTGGAGTGAGCCAGGCGGTGGTTTGGAGATAGATCCTGCGTCCTAGGCTGGCCCCAGCCTCCCTCTGACTAGTCTGATGTTTAAGGCAGCCAGTTTCAAGGGAAAGGCAAGGATCTTTAGGGAAACACCCTCTTTAGTCGTGGTACGTAGAAGTTGTCTGTGTCCTGTAACAAGTAAACTTAGAACACTTCAAAAGCTCTTGTTGATCCTTAGTGTAGGCTACAATGATTCCTTTGTCACATATTGTCAGTTACAGTACTGGAGAAATGGTCTTGTTGTGGAAATTACTTGCACAGGCTCATGCTGTGTTGACCAAAAAAAGGTGTTCCTTTTGAGAGTTCAGAAAGCAAAGATGGGTCCAGGGCATCTTTGTCCAGCACTCACAAACCAGGCAATTGAGGGCTGTGAGAGGGAAAGGGGCAGGAGTACTGAGAGGTGGGTGTCTGGGGATGAAAATCAAAGTGAGGAGGTGGTGTGCCATTAAAAGACAAGCAGGATCAGCTTGGAGAAAAAGGACAGTGACGGTGGGAGGGAAATTATGTATAGCACTCCAGGAAGGTGTAATTAGGATGAGCAGGACTGAGCAAGTCAAAGCACATTCCTGGCTGGCTGGCAGTTGGTGAGATAACCCCTGGAGGTGACAGGGACCATACTGAGCTCCCAGGTCTAGCAACATACCCCGGCCACTTTCCAGCCACATCTCGCTCCTGTCGCCATGCACCCCGCAGAAAAGCCTGATTCCCACGTGGAGTGGCACCCACAGAGCTCTCCAGCATGGCCCTTTGGGAACCCGTATCCCAGGCCATGTGCTACTGCTCATCCTGGACATGGACAACATCCTTCAAAGAGCTTTGCTCAGGCCACCACAGACAAGATCAGAGCCATGGGGTATACATGTCACAGGCATCAATGTAGGTGGATCTGTAAAACGAGCCTCCCTTCAGCACCCACAAGGGCTCTACCTCTCAAGAGGGAATTGTGCTTGGCCCTTAGCCCCTTCATGTGAATATTTGGGGCATGGCAAAACCTTAAAAAAGGGAGAAGGGCTATGGATTTAAGAGATATGTGGAGCTCTGCTTAAATGTTGCATTGTTGCACCCGAGACACACATTTTGTTTCCCTTTCAGGGTCCCGGCACTCCCCTCAATATTATTATTATTATTATCAGAAATATTTGTAAACAAAACTGCATTTCAAACTGTAAGAATTAAACACTAAGAAGGCTTCCCCGTGACATGCTTTGAACTTCTTCAGTTGAAATCTTTCACAAGCTCTGAAGAAGCCATAAAGAGCTCCAGCCGATTTACAACTGGATCTCCTTCACCCAGGTCAGTTTGCCCAGCTCTAGTGCAGAGAGACTAACTGGTTTGGAGTCCTTTTTGTGAAGCTGACAGGAGGAGGTTTAACCGAGGGATTTACGCAACCCTGTGATCTTTTCCATCTCTAATTTGCTATGCAGTCTAATGACCGTGCCGCGGCACCCGGAGCCCTGAATTACCCTGTGATTGTCCCTCTGACGAGCCAGCCCGCCGCGTCAAAGCCAGCAGATGGTGCTCCCAGCTTGGCCTGCAGCCGGGCTGAGGCTCAGTGCTGCTGCAGAAGAGCATCCTCGGATCGCAGGGGTTCAGGGAAATACTTCTGTGCTGGACATGAACATGTCCAGGGCAGACAACAGGATCTGTAGGGGATCCAAGCTTAAAAGTTCTCCTTTCCTCCTCTCTGCTTATCAAGACCAAGTATCTCGAGGCCTCAGCATGCGTAAAGTCCAAAAATTATTCTGACTGGCTGTGTTCACAGTAGTGGTGTGGAGCTGCTAGTGGCTGTGCCCATGGGTGGAGGACAGCAGCACCCTGGTGTGAGTTCTCTGCTGCAGAGTGCCACAGGGCAGCCACACTGGTATGCACACTTCCCACAGACCAGCACCATGGCAGCTGATGAGTCCTCTACCAATATCTGGCCTTAGCTCAGGAAGGATCAGATGCTCATCAACTCTCAGCAGGAAGATGGATGTAAAGCCATCAACAGTATGAACAGTCTGTATCCACACTTTTTCGCAAGTCCTCAGACAAACGCCAAGGTCTGGGATGCACAAATCTGTCTCAGCTCTTTGCCCTACAACAGCAATAAAAACTGCTCTGGGATGAGTCCAGTGAGGTCCTTCCTCTTTGCCTACAGATGACTATCATGACTAACTTTCTGCATTTACCTGCAATGAGTCAGACCTGCAAAATCATTAGACTGGCTTGAAAATAATACACAGCGCGAGCTATTTGTGTCCAAGCCTTTAAGGTACTCTTGGGGCTTGTTTCCTCTGGAAATGGCAGGGCTGGGAACATGGTGTTCTCGCTCATAAAAGGCAAGCTGACAGTCTTGGGCTCTGAACAACTAGGCTTTCCAATGAACACCCAATTGTCAAAAGGCTTGCCAGAAATTACAGGAGGTAGCGAGGCCGAGCAGGCACGTAGAACCTCTCTGTGTTGACCAAGACTTGCTGAGTGTGAGTCCTGGCTGTTTGCCTGAGAGAACTCAGATGTTCAGTGTTTGTACATTAAAATATGGGATCTTTTTTGCTCTGTCCTTGGCCAAGAACTTCTCTTGGCCTTCAGTGTAATACTTGTTGCTACTCCTCACTTCGGGAGTGGCTGCATTTTAGTGGTGAGCACCAGATCAGCCCATGGGGTGTGGTGGCCCCCAGCGAACTGTAAGGAAAGCTGAATAATTTCCCAATAAAACCCAGGGTGCAGGATCTGGCTCCAGCTCCAGCATTCCCCAGTGTCATGTGCACTGACTCGGACCATCTCTTTTGCCAGAATAGTCAGATAGTCCCAATAAATGGTGGTGATGATGAGCTTGGAGGCTGAATGATGGCCAAGATGAAGAAAGCTCCAAGATAGTCAGGATAAACTGGCATCACAAAATCTATCATGTAAATGCCATTGTTGTCAGGGCCACTACCCAGCTTTCTGTCAAAATCTTAAGTGTGAAGCACTTTTATCAACGGCTGTTGGAAAAATATTGCAGGCACACAGTTGTTGGCCAACCCTGACCTCTTTATAAGTGCCCAAGAAACAAGCATAAATAATAAAGCATCACTTTTGTTGGCCTGTTGGGGACAAGCCCCTTGCCTTTCATTCTGCCAGTCAGGACAAGGTTTCATCACTGATGAGGTCCACCACAAAGAGGTTCTTTATTGAAGCACAACACTCTCTGAAGGAGATGTTTCTTTTCCAGTCTAAATGGACCAGATATTTTGGTTACAGGCTAAGAACATGACCTGTGTACCTGAGTCCTAAAAATCAGATCCAGAGGGTGAAGGAAAGAGAATTGTGGCTAGAAATAATAAACCTTTTCTGAGTCCCACCACTGATTCACAGGTAGGAAAGATGGCTTCATGCTGGTCAGGTGCTGCTGAGGGGAGTCAATGCATGGTGACAAACTTGCAGTTTGGCCAGTTACATTCATTTGCCATAGCTGACAGCAGTCAAGTTTGCTTTGTATGAATGTTTTACAAAGTCTTCCTTATCTCACCTCCATCACTGCAGCATCCCAGGACATGGTCTACTGCAAACTCTCAGTACACTTATGATGTGTCAGGTGTTGACTAGAGGCTGGTAACTGAGGCAAGGCACAGATAGTGACTTGCCCAGATCCAAGCAGCAAAATGTTATCTCACATGGTACATCTGAGCTGAAAACAGACCAGAGAACAGCCTGCTATTAGGGAGAGGAAGAGGGAGCTGAGGGTACCCATACAATATATCACAACCGAGAAGGGGGGTACCCTACAGTAGAAAGTGCAAGAACATCCTGGTTTCTGGCCAGATGTTGCCGGGTGCTGAGACCTCATACACTGGGATGGCACCACCTCAGGATCAAAAGAGGATCCTGTATAAAGTCAGCTCTTCCCAAACATTGGTGTTTATATGGGGACCTGTATCTGGGTCAGAATGAAAATCAGCAGCAAAGTTTACACTGGTTTTACGTTAACACACGCAAAGTAGGAATGAGCCCTGTGTTTAGAGGACAAAGCAGGTTTTGCCACACCAAGAGAGAAGGGGGCAAAACCCCCAACCACCACCACATTAGAAGAAATTAATGTTCATATTTATCCATAATTGGGTGGTATTTTCTGGAATGATGTACTTTAGACAGCTTTATCCTTACCTGTTGCCACTGTGAAAGATGTGCTAACTCCCAGACTTTGTGTTGTCCAATTACATCGCAGTACCTGTTTGGAGACAGAGTCCAACCCTTCCTCTTCACATTTGTCAGAAGTATGGCAACATGAGTCAGACCTCAGGCCATCAAGGTGACCAAAGAGGAATCTGTAATGCACTGTGGTACTGCAGGTACCAACCTCCGACCCGTTGCCCCTGCAGTTCCCCGTCCGACTGAGGGATGGCGGTGCTGCCTCAGCTCTTACTTCATCTAATGATGCACACAGTGCACTTTGTGAAAGGATTTTTTCATTAGCACCACAGGGTGTGCTGGTAGATGATTGCATATGACAGGAGTCATTCTTACAGCCACGGTCCACTTGCTGTTGCTACATCTGAAGCCTTGCATGCAGCTGCTGGAACAGCCCTTACCCGCCCATGGCTTGTAACCAGAGAAAGAACAGAATGTCCTCAGAAATTACGCGTGGCTTGTTTCTGGGATGCTTTTTATTATGAGCATTTACAGACTGTGTCGGTCATTGGTAGGTGGTTATGCTCAGAGGAGATAACAGATCCCACCCAGGACACCAGCTCTTGTAATTCCAGCTTAGTCTTTGATCATGGATAAATTATTCCTCTTTCACATGCCTCTGTCTCCTTCCCCATTCAAGTGTCTACTTAGACTGTAAGATTTTCGAGACAGTGGGTGTATCCTAGCGTGCAGATACAGAATGTAGTATAGATACTGTACAGCACCCAGAACAATGCAGCCCTTGATCTTGATGGCAGCCTTCACCCATTATCTTAATAGAAGCATCAAAGTCTATATACGAAAGAGTTTACCCGAACAATCCTTTGGCCATACTGACTCCAGAACAGACCTGTGACAAGAAGTGACGGAGGAAAATGTGTGTACATAAAACCATTCTGTATGTTTGGAATGACTGAAGATCATCTGGGTTCTGCATGGAGGTGACTGTCCTCCAAGTGGCAGTACTGCACCTTAGACACAATGTGTGTGCCATCTCCACAGCCTGCTAGAAGCTTTCTTCTGTGTAGCAAAAAGAAGTCAAATCCAGGTCTTGGATCCCAAAGGGCAATTTTTTAGTAACTGTAGTGTTGCTCTGCAGGTGGCAACTCTTTAAAGAGCTCAACTAATACCACACTGGCACCAGAGAATCAACTGATTCCCTCCATTACAGGGGAAGACTCTTGACCCATCCAAAGAGGGAGCAAAAACCAAAGACTTGAGGAGACTGGACCCTGCAGCTATCCAGTCCCTTTTCCATTTTTAACCACCCACTGGAAACACCACAGGAGGTAGAAGGCATCAGTTCTTAAGGAAAACTCCCTTTTGACTAAAAATTCTCAAAAAGGACATTTTAAACAGGAGGTTTTGACCAGGAGTAATGTGAGGACCACTAATACTGCTCGACTGCCACTAAGAGAGTGAACTTCCCATCTTGTGCGGCAGAAGAGCAGACACCACTGTGCACCTCACCTCCAAGCGTACATCTTCCAGCTTTGCTGGGCTGCAAGGAGCAGATCTGTGTGCACCCTCTACCAAAGAGAGCCTATTTAATTGGCATACTACCTCTCTTCACCAAGACATCTGTCAGTCTGACCTGGTGGTGTTTTTCACTGTGCTTCTTCAGGCCAGATTTGTGTCTTATGTCTCCTCTGCCCCACCTTGGCAGACCCACATCCACACTGTGCAGGATCTTTCTGGCAACGCTAGGCATCCTGGAGCAACAGTGAACCTCTGTTAGTCATTTGCCAGCCACTTTCTAATCCAAGCCTTGCTATTTTTATCCAGTTCAGATTTCTTCATTCCTTTAATAAACATATAATGTGGCAATCTACCAAATGTCTGGCCAAAGGCAGAGCAGTTTGCAATCGTTTCTGGCCCTACTGCCAGAAAACAACTAACTAATCAAAAGACATCTTGTTTGCTAAGTTGACCCCAGTAGCAAAGTCTCCTCTCAGAGGAAGGATCTGGATATCAGGACTCTGTCAGTATTTCCACACAACTGGGGGTGTCTCCACCTTCTCTCCCAAATCAACTACGTTAATGATGTAGTAGAGGAGAATTCAGCAGTATCCTATCATGCCCATCCAAACACCAAAGAGCAAGTGATCTATGTGTCACAAGGAAGACTGTAGGTCCTCCAGTAAAATCACTCAGTCTTCTGACATTTCTACCCCTGATGACCCAACAAATAAGGACACATGGCAGTGTCCACTGCCATGTCCTCTTGTGACCTCAGCCCCAGTGTGTCTTAGACGTGGTATCTCTCATTGAAAACTGAGTGACTCTTTTGGTTTGGACCACCAGCAGATACTGTTGAGTCTTCATCTGAGTAATGAGTGTGCTGAGTGCTGTGTGCTGAGTAAAAGCACACACATTCAAAATGTGCTAAGCCCTATAATAACAGGGAGAAGGTGACCTCAAATATGTTGTTTGTACCATCAGCTAAATGCTAATTTGGAGCTGCTCTCCCTCCCACTTTGCTGGGTTATCTTGACAGAATAAAACCTAGAATTCCCAAAGAACTAGCAATTACTAGCAAGTTTCCAAGGGCAGAACTCAAAATAATCTAAGAAAAAAAACCCTGGTCATTAAATCTCTTATTTCCAGGAAAAAAACCCAGCGCCCCTGATCTCTGAAAAGCATGTTCTTCACAGTATCTTTGGCAGGATTTCCAAAATCACCTGTATGTATAAACCTTGGTCTGAGTGACCTCTATGCAAGGCTAAGATGGCAGATCATTCTATTATGCTCAGTCAAATGTATGAACAAATTTCTTTCAGGCATAGTTAGGGTCTCAGCCTATGCATTTTGGAGATTTTGTAGTGAAATTAGCACAAGGTCATAACTTCTCTGTTGAGGAAAGTTGTACCTGCTCCCCCTTCCAGATGGGGAGATTTGTGGGGAGTAGAGGGCAGCTGAGCAGTGGGACTTTCCTATAAAAGGAGCCCACTGGGACAAGAACTTCTGGAAGGTTATTTGGGGGATGTGAGTATGTAGGGTGTTGATGATGTGTGCTAGGGGAATGATGGGCTGCAGCAAAACTGTAGTGCAGGTTTAGAGATTCAGCGTCAGAAATTCTGCTTGTGGTTTAGGCCATTGTTTAAGGCTGATAAAGCAGCTGCTACAGAAAAGGGGAAGCAGAGGGAAACTGCTTATTATAACTGGTACTGTGTGGACGATGGGGAGCAAAGTAGTGCATGGTCTGCTCTTGGGGAGGAAAGCATACTTTGTTGAATAGAGACTTATCTTTTTTACTTCTCTACTGTGTCTGTCCCTTTCCTGTAATTAGATATGTTCTGGGTAGTAAAGGGAAGATTTTGGCTCTGATACTGGGAACCTGAAGCAACCCTGAGGCTCCAGAGCCTGTATTTCTGACAGTTTAGAGTGCCCTGCTGTTGAGGAAAGCAGTGCCCTTGTCCATGGCCTTACATGTAATGAAAGCTTGTGAAAGTCCCTCTTCTGATGATGACATGGCAGCCTGACCTCCCATGTGACATTTTTCTGCTCATTGCTGGGACATCATCAAGGTCTAGAACTTATGAATTAGTTCTGGGGACACAGTTGCTATTTTAAGTACCTTTGTACCCTCTTCTAGAGGCATAGGAAAGCTTTGTTTTTCAGGTCTCTGAACATCTTAATAGTTGATTTGAAGGCTCTTCCCAATGCAAGAACAGGTCTGCTGTGGGATCCCTTTGGCCAAGTCAGGAATATTTCTCAGCTGATGACCTCATAGATAATGGAGTGGAGGATCAGAGTCTCGGAAGTGTCATCTGAGGTGCTGGAGGCTGAGGCCATCCTTTGATGAGGTCTGTCCCTGAGCTGTTATCTTGGTTGGGTGATGTCAGCCTTAGGGGATGTTTGTGTGCTGGCAGTGCCTGGTCAGGACATTTCACTTAAGTAACCCCTTGCTCCTCACATGTCAGTGAGTATGGGTTGTGCATCGACCAGACCTTTGCCTGGCATCAGTCTTATCTAAAGTTTACTGTTCTCAGGTTTCTGTGGTCAGCCAAAGATTCAGAAACTTTCTGGTGCTTGCAGACAAACAGAAAATCTGGCACTTTTTTTTAGTGTGACCATGTCCCTGCAGTGGTTGACAGGATGTCCTGTCTGAGGGAAAATTACAGATGTTTGATCTTCAAACAGTGTCCATAGGGACTCCTACTAGATCTGAACAGCTATCATATCTCCTCTGATATCAAAAAGCAGATCCTAGCTGAAAGGCTTCCAGTGGCTATATCCTCTGTTGTTTCATCACTAAGCAAATAAACCAGTTGCAAACCCTTTTATTACATGTTGTGAAATTTTTAAAGGCTTTTTTGGTCTGAAATTTACCTTTTTCTTCATCTGCAAAAAGATCTTAAGGAAGAATGTAGAATCAAATAGGCTGTGGGATGGTTCAAAACCAACTGCTTTGCCAAGCTTCTGGCCATCTGGGATAGGTCCAATTTTTCCTTTAATGGGTGCAGCAGTATCACAGGCTGCAGCAGGGGTTTATTGCATAAGAGTCAGTGTGATGGGGATTAGTCCCTCTTGTGAAGAAAGAAGAAGACATGACTGAGGTTGCTCAGCTGATTAGTGGTAAAGTGGGAATAAGCATCCAAACATCTTGTACAGTTCATGTTTTATACATAAGGTTAAAAAAAGCACATTTTTTAATCTTCGTTAGTCTAACTGAGGGAAAGGGGAATTGTAAATTTCTACCTCATTGATGGAGAAGTTGATATGCTCACGTTGTTGCATACAGAGCCAGACCAGAGACACTTCTCTGAGGGGAGGGAATGGATGCCACTGGAATTTAACTTGAGTAGGTGTATAAATTACCTCATACACATTCCCTCGCCCACTCCATCTGCACTGTAAGTCATTCAAGTCCTAAAGTGATGGGATTTAATCTTAAGGTTCTTGCTGACTCCTCTCTGGCATGTCTGACAATACAGACTTGGAGAACTCTCACTTGATACCCTAAGGCTTTTTAAATGCCACAAGAGGTGGCATCTGTTTGGGTTGCTGGTAGCAGCAGTTTGAAAGCTTTAGAGGGCACTGGAGCCATGCAATCAGCCACCCTACTTGCTGGTGCACAGAAGTAAAGGTATGTTGCTTTCTGAAGTAGGAAGGTTTCTTCTTGACGTGTGGAGATTTGACAGTGCTTTGACACTGGTTCAGAGGATTGCAAAGGAGTTCCTTTAGCTCAACAGGTGCTGACACTCCACAGGCTTTCCTTGAAGTCTGAGGTAGAGGTGGAAGTATCAAAGCTAAGCAAAGTTTTCAGGACTATCTCAGCAGGACTGATATCATCCGTGTTTCATGCAGATGAAAGAGAAAAGAGGAAAAAAGGAAAGCAAGCTTTGAGAACACTGAGTAAAAATTCATGACTAATATCATTAAAGCATAGCTGAGCCAGCTCACTTTCCCCCATTCCTCGATCACACAATTTGGCTTCTTTTACTTGAGCACTAATCAAATCCAACAGCAGTAGGCAATGTGGGGGCTCAGAAGGTCCCACAGCTTAAGGGACCTTCTTTTGCCCTCAAAGTGTGGCGCCGGGCACAAAAGCAAAGCGTTTCATTGTCTGCCTGTGCAGGCAGGTGACAGCAGGAAGTCAGCTGCTGATTGCAAATGTTTGCTGACCGCAGCTTGCCGGGAGTGCCGGCTCTGGCTGCCTGCACCCAGAAAGCTCTCAAAGCCAGGACCTCATCAGTGAGGACAATGACGGGGGGAGGGATTGGAGGAGGAGAAACACTGGAAAAGCTCTGCTCCTTATCTTAAATATGATGTTGCTGGTATCAGTGTGCTAGTATTGAAGGAGATACTGGAGACAATAGGAATATGCTCATCAAGCAGAAAGTTTTGGCTGAAAAGTGTTTCATCTGGGCACTTGTAAGTGCTGTGCTCATGCACACACAGAAGTCAGGTGTGCATGAGGAATTTCAGTGATCAAGCTGAAACAACACCGGAAAATCTGGAAGGATATTTTGTCTGTCAAAAGCCTTTGTTTCTTTAGTTTAATCATTCCTGTCATGTTTAGGACAGATAGTTTTGAAAATACAACCTAATGGCAAGAGATTGCATTTGATTCTCAGCTTTGCTGCAAATGCTCTGGGCTGCCTCTTGCAAGGCAGCTCTGTGCCTGCATCTGTATATGGGGGTTTTGCATCTTGGGTTATAAGCTCTCTCCAGGGTAGGAGCTGCAAGATTGTGTGATCTGCTCAAACCTTTCAGCACTTCCATGGAAGGGTGAGGTTGTTGGTAGTATTAAAAACAGAAGTCCAGATATAATCTGACTGTTGTTCTATAGGGCTCAAAGCAACTGTTGCTGGCTGTGGTTAGTCAGAGGATACTTTTGGTCTGACTCAATAAAGCTAGTTTTGTTGCAATAGTTACTAAAACAACCTCACATTCTTTTTATAGATGGAGAAATCTGGCAGTTCCTTAATAGGAGGTACAAACTTGACAGCCCTGGAGAGATGGAAATGCAGGTTACTTGGAGGCAGATTAAGGGGGAGGCTTACAAGATAAAATGTCGTGGGTCTCATTTATTTGCAACACTTGCTACTTTTCTGCATTAGAAGTGCTGAGTTTGCATCTCTGTACATCTGTGACAGCCACGAGGCATTGCCTATGGTGATGCTTCAATAAAACAGCAGACTTGAGAAATGCCCCATGTCTGTAAAGTGACCAAGTGGCAGAGTTGGGTCTGCCAGTTCATGGACTCCAGACATCCATTGAAACATGCACAGGGGACAATGTGTAGGTGGTGGAGCAGAAAGCACTTAGCTGGCTCTTGCATAGGACCTTCTCCCTTTGAACAGATCTTGCCTTTACAAACATGCACATAGTTCCTGTCAAGTACCTCCCCAGAGCTGAATTTGACTGAATTTCCTATAGCACGTTTCAGGAGGAGGGGCTTTCCACAAACCGTTTCATGGCTGTCCTAGCTGGGTCTGCAGGTGCCACCATGAAGAAGTATGACTAATGTGCTGTCTTTAGCATGTTTTTCCCAAACAAGCGAAATAAATTCCTTTTTCCTTTTTACAGAATACTGTTCAGGGAAAACACAGTTTACAACTGCTATTTCTTAAAATATCTTTTATTCATTAGCTGCTGTTGTTAATAGAATCAAGGTGTTAGTAAAAACAGGTAATTATTCACATAACACACCAGTCATTCACGTTTGCTCACTAGCTGGAGCAGCTGTTAGAAGGCCAACCCCAGTGTGCACACTCGGAAGCAGAAGGTCATCCTGATGCACCACTGCTTTCTAGGTAGGTCTCTAGAAATTCCTTCAGAAGGCACTTTGTTTCACCACCTGTATACATAACTCCGTATTCTTAATCTGCATAGAGCAGCCACTGCCCTCCTGGGTGTGATCCAAGTTATACAACCTGTTGCAGATGCTAATCTGTGCTGACAGCTTTGTACACCATTAAACCCTGGTGGTCTAAGTTGATAATTTCTTGCAAATTCATCAGAATTACTTATTTCCAAAGACTGTCAGGCCCTGGGAAACTTTCACATAATATCTTAGCAAATATCTATCTTGACTTTGGCTTGTGATGTTTTCTGGTTACTATTTCTCCATCTGAATCTACAGAAACATATAGAACTTAAACACACAAACTTGTTCAAAGGTGTCTTTTATGATACCAGGAAATGCTACTTTACTGGGGTAGTGGAAGGCGTATGTCCTCTGCAGAACACAATATTGTGGCATGAGGTGGAATGAATTCATGGGGAATAAGCTGGAGGGATATCAGTACTTGGGCACACTGATACTGTCATCTCTACAGGAGCTGACATTTATCTACTCGAACTGTTTTAACAGCCTGTATGCAACAAAGAAAGGCTCCCTGCCACAGCCCTTTGTGTTTTGCAGACTATTTGGGGTCCCTCCCCTTCCTTTGCTGTTCCTTGGACCTCTTCACCCTTTAGAGATATATAAACATATAACAAGTCCAGGTAAACCACTACATGGAATTGAATCTGGACATGCAGAGGTTTTTCCCCAGCTCTCATACCTCGAGCAATGACCTCCTCTGACTGCTGTGTTGCAATGCCCAGCCCGACTTCTGGTGAAGAACAGAGTTCCTTGTAGACACTAGAAGGGTAAAGAGGAGCAGTGTAACTTCGTGGCACCCAGCAGACAGCAATTTACATCTCTGCCCTATATGGAAACTTAGCAGAGCGGGATGCCCCAAGCTTTCAAACCAGGAGAGAGCTCTCTGGGATCTTAGCCATATGTCATATGGTGCTGGTTACTTGTGAATGGGTTTGCTTGGGGCTTTCCTATACATGTGGTTAATGAAAGAGTCTGCTCCTTCAGCAGGTCTCAGTCTGGTTCCTTTCTGAGCAGCACTGGCTCAGACTGGTGGCTTTGCTAGTGCTCTTGGTTGGCTTTCCCTGGTCTTGCCCAGATGAGTCTTGGTCTCCAGCTGCTGAAAGAGGAAACACCATTTCTGGCTGCACAGCAAGGGTCTCCAAAGAAGTCTGGGCTGTAGTTGATGTGTAGCTGGCAAGCCTGAATGTAACGCCAGCCAGCAAGCCTGAAGAAAGGAGTGTTTATCATCTTACGTGTCCACAGTGGGAGAAAGGGGTAAGTGTTCTGAAACTCTTCCTAAATCCAGCCTTGCCTTTTCCCCTTCATCAAGTCTGGTCCCCTGAAGAAGCTCCTGTCCTGAGCAGCCAAAGTGG